TAGCTACTACCCCAGAATTTATTCTACAATAGACTGAAGCAAGTTCCAGCTGATACATATTCCCAAATTGTCAATTACAACACAATACAATCAAGTGGCTTGTGACATTATTTTACCAGCTCCATTAGGTCCTTGAAATTTTTGGTTGGACTCCCATCTGATTTCACAGCTTCTATTGCTCTTTCTTTTAGCCCTTCAACATTTTGCCTTAATACCTTCCCTTTATCCTCACTGAAAAAGGCATCCAATGCACTCATTGTTCCACTTTTGGTGAAAATTCCACCTTCAATTTGTAAACCTATTTGCCAAACACTTTCCACCATTCTACTATTCAGCTTTTGGTCCCCGAAAAATGGCCTACAAATCATAGGCACACCATATGATATGCCTTCCAAAATAGAATTCCAACCACAATGTGTTACGAAAACACCAACAGCAGAATGTGCCAAGATTTCCAACTGGGGTGCCCAAGAAACTATTTTTCCAAATTCCTTTGTTCTTTCAAGAAACCCTTTAGGCAAAATCTTGACCCCATTTTCTCTTAGTGACCAAAGAAAAGGTACCCTTTTAGCTTCTAATGCTTCTGCTACTGCCACAATTTCATTAGGGGGTAGTGTTGTAACAGTTCCAAAACTAAGATAAACCACTGATTTTTCCTTTTGTTTCTCAAGCCAAAAGATGCAACCACTTTCATCAGAATTAACATCTAAGACTACTTTCTTTGATGATTGTAGAACTAAAGGGCCAATGTTGAGCACCTTTTGAAGCTTTGATTCGAGGTCGTTGTTAATTATTGGATCCAATTCCTCAAAAGAATTCAGTACAACAGCAGTTGCTTTGTGCAAATTTAAAGCCATGTTATACAGCATAGATGGCATTGGCCCCTCCAAATTCTCAGCTACAACTTCTGGTGGCATGTCACTGATTTTTAAAGTTGAAGAAAAACCTGGTATAGTTGATAATGTTTCCTCGTTGGATCGAATTAAATCAGTGTATAAATGAACAGATAAAGAACCAGAACCAGCAGTCCAAAAAGCAATCCAGGGGACATTCATTTTCTCAGCCAATTTACAAGAAAACCATAAGAAAGCATCACTTAAAATGCAAGAAAATTTCACCCCACTTTCCTCCTCTGCCATTTTCATAACTTTCTCAAAATTACTAGGTGTTGCGTTTATAAAAAGCTCAATGGCTTCACGTCCAATAGGGGTAGTGCCATTGGTTTCTATGACACCATCCCAAACATTGTAGATTTTAATGTTTTCTGGTTTTGAAAATTTGGAGAAGATTGAGGAGTTGGATTGTGATGTGTTGAAGAAGGAAAATAGTGTATTTGATGGTAAGAATGGAGATAGTTTTTGGACAAGAGTGAGTAAAGGAGTTGCATGGCTACCAAAAGGGAAAGCAAGAAGTGCAATATGAAGTTGAGAAGTAGTCATTCTTTGTTTTTCTCTTTAGTTTATTAGTCAAGTGAAGGTTTAGGCAATTTCATGTTTGTTTATACAGTTTTGTAGTAGTAGTAGTACTAGTTTTAATGTGGCGTAGAAAAGATGACTAGTTGTTGTCCTTTCTTGTGGGGGTTGAAAATATCACCTACCATCAATGGGGGTTGATCAGTTGATGCATGCCGTGACTTACTCGATATTTTTATGTTTGGTAAAAGTTTATGAAAACGACAATAATCGCTTTGAAAATAACAGTCAAATATATATATAATTTTTTATACTTTTACGACTACTGAATGTAAATGATTTTAGCAGCGGACTAAAAGTGATCTTTGCCCGAAAATTTACTCACTTTTAGCTAGCGTTTGGACATAATTTTGGTTGAAACTTGAAAAATGAGTTTTTAAAATTATGTTGAAAAATAATTTTTGGAAGTTGAAGTTGTGTTTGGACATACATTTTATTTGCAAAAAAAACTGAAATTTTGTAAGTGGAAGAAAATTTTTTACCCAAAAACTGGCTAAACCATTTTTAAGAACTTGAATATTTTTTTGAAAAACTGATCATATTCTATAAACATTATTTTTAATTTTTCTTTCAAAATAAACCGTTAAAATCTATGGCCAAATGGGTACTTAGTTTTTGTGTCGTACTATATCACTATATTATATTATGGTTAAGAGAAAAATGAGATAAGAATGGTGTATGATTTAGTGAATGTTTTGAATGTCAAATGACGCCAATTTAACAAGGTGTCTCCCCCTACGTATTATTTGTACATCATGTTTTTTTATAATTTTATAACTTAAAAAAATAATTTTTTAGATCTTTTATTTGTAAAAATAAACTTTTTACGTATAAAAATAAATCTCTCGTGTAATAAAAGAGATAAGATCGTAAAATTAAAAATAAGTTTGTAAATATTCGCGAAATTGATCCCAAATTTTCTTTCATTTTATTTTGACCTTTTTGATTGTTTTCGGAGAGGTGGGTAGGTACATCAAATGGCTGTAAAGCAACTGTTACCGACCCAATTGTAGACCCACAAATTTGAGCTGGTAGGATTTAATGTAGATTTTGCAAACACGAATTCAGTACTCCTACTTGTTAAGCATATAAATCTACTACTCCCTACAACACTACTTGCTTTATTTGCATACTCTTTTGGACGTGGAAACTTGGATACCGCAATTTTCAGAAACGTCAGTACTTTCCTTTGTTTTTTTTATCGTGTAAATATCTTGACCGCTCAACATGGAAACAAACAGTGTACGTGGACTTGTGTGGAAAGTGCTATAGGTATAATAAACTAGTAATTGTCGGCACGGACGTAATAAGTTAAATGATGTCATTTATGCAACTTTGCATTAGGTTATGCTTCATTTAAAAATATAAATAAATCATATGTATGCTATTTTTAAAGTTTTATTGGGATTTGGTTTTAGGCTTTTAGCTTCTCAAATAGAGATTTTATAAGGGCATCTCCAGCCCTTCCCGGTTTCTCCACAATGGAGCCATTTTTTTTATCAAAATGCATTTCCAATCCTCTATTATTTTTGCCTTCAAAATGGGGATGAATAATATCACTTCAAATCACCTCCATTACTATTTATCCTCATATTATTATTATTTTTATTATTTATCTCTTTTAATTTACCTATTATATTTATGTAATATCTTTATAATATTAATTTTATATTTTAACTTTGGCATATAATTTTGATAAATTATTCGTGCATTTATTATTTTTATGTAAAATTATAAGTTAATTTTATTATAAGTTATAATTGTATATGAAAATTATATAATCATCTCAAAAATGAATGGTGCAAATATAAAAGGAAAAAGGCCATTATTGCCCCTATACTATTAGAATTTAAGCATGTTTGTCCCCTGTTACATTAGTTCAATTCCCACCCTACTGTTAATAAAGTTTATGTAATTACCCCTAACCCTATCGCCTCGTCGATGTGGCAGCTGACCCCCTCTCTTTTTTCCAAGTTAGCTGCCAACTCAGACTTCCACTAACTTTTAATACCCAAAAACCAACGGCTATTTAGTCTCCCAATCCTAAGTTCACTCCCGGTAATTTGATCCGTACCCAACGTCTTCTTTTCTCCCCCAAAATATGCTCCATTGCTAAGAATTTAGGGCTCGACTGGAATCTTCCCAAAATTTCTCTTTTCTTCATTCTCGTCGTAGCTTTGGTTGATAAATGTCGCAAGGTAACTATTCATCACAGATTAGGTGTTGCTGCGGTAGTATAGCCAACCACTTCACTTCGTCTACTCCATATAACTCTAGAAGAAAATTCTACAAATGTTCGAGGCCTAAGGTTACCATATTTTTTAGTTTTTTATTTATTTATAATTTTACTGTAATTTTGAAATCTACAAGTTTAGACTTTTGTAATTATTACCTAAATGTTCTTTTTGAATCATGGACAACCTAGTTCATGTGGGTTTTGGGAATGGGAATATGAAATCTTCCCGCAAAGTGATTGGACTAATATTAAAGATGTAACTTTGTCGATGGAGGAAATTAAGATGCAAACGGACAAATTGAATAATGAAGTAATTGCCATGAAGGCTATACACCAATATGAAGTGGATAAAGTCGTCAAGTTGGAAGATAAACTTGCAAAGACAAGGATGTTGCCTATGATTTCTTGGGGACTATTTGTTGGTTATTTGGAAACCTCGATGATGAAGTGACTTTTTTGAGTTTTATATGTGTAGCTGACTTTTAGGTCAATTAAGTCATGTTGTAGTAATATTCTAATTTATAGTAGAATTTGTTGCTTTCCAGCAATGTTGTTTGATGATGATATTATTGTAGTATTTGTTGGTTAGTTTTCCCCCTTATTGTATACCCTAAAGCAAGAGCTTTTTTCTCCAAATCCTAAAGATGTTTGTTTTCTTTATAAGATATGATAGTATATTATTGGTCCCTATATTATTTAGTGTACAGAAACTTTAAGGTTCAATTTCCAGCCATGCTGTACAGATTCTATTTTGGCATGTTGAATAAATACATTCCAAGTGCAAAACTGGAAAACAAAAGACATAAAAGACAACAGCAATCCAAGCTGCAGATTCTAAATGGCATGTTCTAAATTGCTTCCAATCCACTTCATTTGACATAAAAGACAGCAACAAGTATAAATTGTTGTATAATTACATAACTGGAAAATTGAAATTAAAAAGGGAACAAAATGGACAATAATTAATTGAACACCAACTGTTAACATTCATAACATTCATCATCTATCAACATTCATAAAGTGAGTTTAATAAGACAACTGAATACCATATTATAACCCCAAAAGATGTCTATAACCTAGTTATATCATGGCATCCAAATGTCACAACTAAAGAACCACAACCAAAATATAGAGTTTACTGACATGGCAGTAATAACAACACATACAAAAATTTACAAATGTTCAATACTAGAAGCAACGTCCCATCACTTTTGCTCCTTACCACTGCCCTTTCTTGCTTTCAATTTGTTTAGCCTTTGTATCAACTGATTTCCAGTGATGGCAGATTTTCCCTACCATGTTAGGCCTTTTGCTGAGAAAGTAATCTTTGAAGGCTGACTTGCACCATTTGAATCACCAAAAAATCCAATTTGCCTCGTTGCAATTGGTACACTTTGCTGCCTCAGCTGGAGTCTTGTCCTTGCTTCTGAGATGCTCTTTGGTCTTATAGCTTTCTCAGGCTTAGGTTCAAAGTTAAGGATCTCAAAATCTGGATCATTACTAGTTGGAAGCTGCCTTTGAACTGTAGGGGTGGCATAAACACAAAGTTGCTGGACTGAGTGTTTTGACTTGGCTGTGGTGCTTATAAATGGAAGTCATCTTCAGTTGTAATATCTGCAGCAGCTGGTGATGTAGGCTCTTCAGCATCAGGTTCATCAACCAAAGTTCTTTGTTTTTTTTTTCTACTTTCCCCTTGAATTGCCACCCATTAGTTATTTTCCTTTAGAGTACTATTACCAAATCGAACACAATTATATGTTAGAACAAGGCAGGATAAAATAGAAGTTCAAAGTTATTGTTCAAGAGATATATTACATTGGCACATCCACTAGCATTATGTCTAGGTTCTCCACAGTTATTACATGTCATTACTCTCCCTTTTTTGGATTGAAACCATTGCTCTTGTCTATTAGTTGATTCATTTGTGCCTCTTGTTCTTTTTACTTTTGGCCTGCCAACCTGCCTTACAAATTCAGGTGGTTCCATATTCTAGGAGGGCTCTAACTTCTAAAACTTTTCTCCTCTCATAGGTTGTAACTCGTAAGAATAAGTCTGCAGATATACCTCTTTTGAAAGGTACCAGTGAATCTAACTTAAAGGATCAACCTTCTTGTATAGTAGGGCACATATTGCAAGAGGACATGGGAATCCACAAAGGTCTCATGTCCTGCAAGTGCATTTTTTTGCCCCCAAATTAACAATGTGCCTATCACTACCTTATGCCACCTCATAACCTTGGTCAGCATTGCCCTTCACATGACACTTTTGTACAATCCTCATGAATTGGTTATACAAATTCAAAGTCTTGGGACTGTATTCACTTTCCCACCCCATTACTTCAGCTTCATTATCATTCAACATATTCATAACCTTGATTCTGATCTCCTCCAACATCTTTATAATTGGCTTGTGTCTAGCTTGCAATATCCATGCATTGAAGGACTCGGTCAGGTTATTATCAACTGACTAGTTCTTGCAGGCAGTATCAAAGAAGGCCCTACTCTAGCAAGTAGGTGGATACTTTAACAGATCTTTAACAACAACTTTACCATCATCATCCACTTGGCTCATACTCTTCAACTGATCTTGGAAGTCCTCTTCATAGATACTCCAAGCTACCCACCACAGATATTTTTTGTATTCTCCAGATCCACATCTCTTGTACCAGTTTGCTTTTATGTGTCTAACACAAAATCCGTGGTGTGCCTCAGGAAGAATTGTTGAGATTGAATCAATAAGCCCCTGCATATAAAGGAAAGAAGAAGTATGAGAATCTATATTTATTAAATTGGTAAAATAATAAAGTTAAAAAAATAAAGTAAAGTGTTCATACCTTTTGCATATCTGAGATAAAAGTGATGCCTTCACCCATCTTAAGGTCCAGTGACATTTGTAAATGACTTAAAAACGACTTCCATGTGAATTTTATTTCTTTATCCACAATAGCCCAAGATAATGGATAAAAGTGGTTTGCAGAGTCTTGACCAACTGCCACCAATAGCTGACCCTTAACTTTCCCTTTCAAAAAAGTTCCATCCAACCATATAAAGGGCCTCAACCCACTCTTAAATCCCATCTTCATTACATGAAAACATATGTACATCCTTAGGAACCTTCTCTTGCTTTCAGCAAGAGCATCCTTTGATAAGTTAACTACCACATCACTTCCAGGATTACTAAACTTCAATTCATTAACATATGCCACCAACTTATTACATTCATCAGTAAAACTACCTTCCAGATTCTCCAACCTTCTATTAAAGTATTCAACAATGGTCTTGGAATTAACCCTATGATTCTCAAATGCAGGTTCACAAGTGTGCTCATCATATAAAGTCCTGAATTCAGCTGCACCCCCTGAAGTATTCCTAGATATGTGACATACAAAAGGGAAGCCAGCTTCACAAATGTATCTAAGCCTAGTTGGGTCACTTTTAGCTTGCTCTAACCCATAACCATTTGCAAGTGTATACATATTTATTATTTTCCTAGCCTCAGCAATATCTTTGAATGTCATTGACCTACCCAACTCTTTATAGTCAGTCAATTTATCATTAATATCTCTATTCTTTTGTTTAAAAAGTCTCTCTAGTGTATCACAATCATAGTTTGAAGAAACAACATATTCATTGTCATCACAATTATCACTTTTATCACAATCAGTGTCAGCTTCAAGTTCATCATGCTCATTGTGATGGAGTATATTAGGTACATTAATACTTGGCTCACATTCCTCTACAGCAAATAAGTTAATAACATTAAACTGGTTGTTCACAAAGTTCAGTAAAGTCCTAATGCCATAATCACCTTTTATTTCATAGTATGTACCAGAAGGACCATTAACTATTAGTTATTGGATTCATATATACCCCAAGTTAGAAACATATTCATCCACTAAATCATTATAGGAAAGCAAGTCAGAGTCAAAACCTTTCTTAATGTGCAAAATTTTTATTGAGTATGCTACGAGTGGTTTCTTGACCCACTCTCCACCATGATGAAAGACCAAATCCAGCAGGATCATTGTTAGTAAACTGCAAAATAAAGTAAGTTACAATTAATAAACTAATAGATACAAGGGAAAAGGCATAAAGGCAATAAAATAGAATCAACCATAAGTTGAATAAGTCAGTCAATATTAATAAACTAATAGATGCGGCCATAGATATGGAGGACCATAGATTAAAGTATTAAAGGCAATAAAGTGTCCCAGCCCCAACCTCCGATAAATAACGCACAAAAGAACAAATAAAAGCCAATATTAAAATTCTGATTCACTTATTTTCTATAAAAAACCAAAAGAAGTTGGGATCACAAAATATTAAAATTGAAACCCTAAACCACAAACAAACTATTCAATACCAGATGAGGCACATGCAAACAAAAAGAGTAAAATTAGGATTTAATACAAAAGCAAAACACACACTACAAGCTTGAAATTATTGACAAAGATAGGAGAAGTGAAAACCCTAACCAACCAAGAACTACTCTGTAAACCCTAACTTCAATAAATACCAAATTAGAAAAAATTAGAAACCCTATGACAACTACACACACCTATCAGCTTCAAATAAACGGAAAAGAAAAAGGGAACTGAAATCCCTAACCAACAAAGAACAAATCTCAAAGGGGTTCGAAATGCCAGTAAGAGCATCCTTGGAAAATATTTTTGGGATAAAACAACAAAGAGATAAAACTAACAAAACATCAAGTTTTTAGAGAAAAATATCTTACCCTTGATTGAAATCGCCACTGGAAGCAAGGATCCTGACCGGTTTGGTTCTCTCATTTTCTTTGATGTACCAGAAGGTTCGACCAAATGAGGTGAATAAATTATTTTAAGATGGGTTAATTCTATTTATTTAGTGGGCAAACGGTTACGGGTTACGGGTCAATCTGATTTAGGAGTGAGATTGGGTCAATTTGATTTAGTCGTTGGGTTTGGGTATTAAAAGTTAGTGGAAGTCTGAGTTGGCAGCTGACTTGGAAAAAAGATAAGGGGTCAGCTACCACATCGACGAGGCTTTAGGGTTAGGGCTAATTGTATAAACTTTATTAACGGTAGGATGGGGATTGAACATATAGTATAACGAGGGACAAACATGCTTAAATTCCAATAGTACAGGGGCAATAATGGCTTTTTTCTCAAATATAAAATACTAGATGTTGCTAAAATTGAACTGTGTGAATATAAAATATTAGATGTTGCTAAAATTGAAAAGAAAAAATCACCGATTTGAGTAATTTTTAGCTCGACACAAAAAAATGAAGAACAAAGATACTCATTTTGCACTTAGTAATGCATTAATAGATCATTTATGGGAGCATACTAGAGGTAGATGTTGATTATTTATGTAATATTCAATATGAATTTTACCATAATGTAATATGTATTTAATTATCTTATATCTCAATGATTTCACTTTTATTTGAATTATCCGTTAATATATATACTCTATAATATTTACTTACAAATTATATTATTCAAAAATCTATGGTATAAAATAGTTTTATATTAAATTATAGGTGATGAATATGTAAAAAAGAAAAAAAAAATAGATTTTCTTTACTGGAAATAAAAAATTAAATAAAAGATAATAATATAATATTGAAGAGAGAGAAGAATATAAAATAAAATATTCTTTTTTGGAGTAAAAAATAAAGTAATGGTTGGAGTAACTTTAATCCATTTTGGAGGAAAAAATGGAGGCAAAGGGTTGGAGATGGCCTAAGGAAAAAATTAATTTGTATTTGTTTCTGATGGGTTTACAATGCCTTAGCTTTGTATTTTGATGATCTGATAAACTTACAGTCAATGAAACGGATAAGGAACCCGACACACTTGATACACATCGCAAATTAACGGATTCCAGCTAATGTGAACTGCTACAACTTCAGAAGATAGAGAATCAACACAGGGACCTGATACCCTTGTGTTTCCTTGACAGCAGTACAAAGTCAACTGTCTACAACTGAAAAGTGACTGCCTGCACTGTACACAGAAATAGTGTAGTACAGTTCTGCAGTCACTTCTCATTTGTCTTACCAAGTGATTACATCATTCAAATGATGTCATCCATGTTGTATTAACATTAAACATTACAACAAAACATCACTTAAACACTTGAGAATTTATTCAAGCATTCAAGATCTGACATTCAAGCATTCAATTCTCAAGTACATCAAGAACAAAGTTTAACACCACTACGGACCAGTTCCTAGAGCTAGTAATTTGTATGTCCGTAGTTGAGTTGTAACTTTGTAATTATTCTTCATTGTAATTGTCACGCCCCGAACCTGGGCCTGGACGTAACACGACACTCGGTGCTTGACTACATGTGACCGAGTGAACCAACTGGCTGGCTGAATCAATATGTGATATCATAACATATTGAATGCAGAAGATAAACTAACATATGCTGATATACTGAAAGTCTGGATGATATAAATCAAAGTTCGGAAATCCTAATATAATTTTGAAACATATTTGTAGACAACCTAGATTAATATGAAAATCCTGTGACTTTGTCTAATTGTTACTCTAGTCTATGAAGCCTCTAATGAAGTACTGAAAACATTGACTGTCTGAAAATACTGAAGACTGTAGTAATAATAATGCCTCGAAAGAACTAGGGATCACCAAATAGCTGGTACGAGAATCCTAACGCTCTAAATCATCAACCTATAAATCATTAATTGCATCGTGAGATGCAGGACCCGGGCAAAAGGGACATCAGTACATTTGAATTGCACTGGTATATAAAGCAACTAAAATAAAGAATTATAATTGCTGAAACTAAAACTAAGCTGATAACTGAGAATTGATAATTGATAACTGAAATGATAACTATTGAAACCAAAACTGAAACTAAAACGGTAACGGATAACTGATAACTAATAACTAATAACTAATAACTGAACTGATAACTAATAACTGAACTGAACAAAGAAAGTAAGGATATGAATACTCCCTCTTCTGAATGATGAAAAACTTGTTTATCTGAATAAGCTATGGCCTCGGGCCCAATATGTATGTGCACAAGCTACGACCTCAGACCCAAAAATGCATAAAGCATAAACTACGGCCTCAGGCCCAAACATGCATAAAGCATAAACTACACCCTCAGGCCCAAATACAGGTGTTCAACATTCAGGGATTTAAAATCAGGAACTGAGAATCATACTGCAATACATGATAGTGAAGTACTGAATCACACTGAGTTACATGATACTGGAATACTGGATCACACTGAGTTACATAATACTGGAATACTGCATCACACTGAGTTACATAATATTAGAATACTGAATAGGACTAAATTGAGATATGTATTCTTGAACTGATTATGAATACTGAAACTTCAACTGTTATGGCATACTGAGTAATCTATCTATACTAAGACTCGGGGGCATCAAACCCAAGTCTATATTGAATACGCACTGATCTCACAACATTCAAAATGAAAATCATGAACGAGTTATGAAGCTAGAGAATAAAAGTTCTACAACTATTCAAGGAACTAGGCTAAACTATATTTCTGAGGCAATTAGTAACATCGTAAAAGAAACGTAGTGTAGGGAGAATTATTAACATTACCAAACATAAAGCGTTAGCCTCACATACCTTAAGTTCCTCCTCTTGAGCGTAATACAATATTCGCCAACCCTTTCAACTTTAATCTATATCAATACAAATCAAAGGGATTCCATATTAGCTATAATTCTCATGTTTTGGTTACTTAGGTATTTTTTCAAGCACTTGGTGACATAAAGCTTCATAGTCCTTATTAATGGTGTCTCTACACCCAATAACCCATTCTCTTGCTCCTAAATAAATTCTGAAGTCTCAAATGGTTATAATCAATATAATTCTTTATCATCATAAGGTAAACAACACTCTTAACCAATAATCAACAATCAACAAACCAAATCTATAATTTTTTTATGCTTTTATATCTGCCCATCAACTCATAACTGATGAACAGAGAGTCTATAATCATTAATCCAATGGTTTAATCAATTAGAGGGTGAAGACATTACCTTTTTTATGTTCAATCCCCTTGAATTCGAGTTCTAGGGTTCCTTCTCTCAACAATGATGTCCCAATTGAATATCTAATGATATTGAGGGTTTACCCATGTTAATAAGATATTGGAAAATTGAAATTAACTTAGAACCACCATTAGAACTTACCTTGGGTGGTGGAGGGACCCTTAAGGAGTTCGGTTTTTGAGAGTTCCCCTTTTTAGAGTAAGTTTTTATGTTTTGGCGTTGTGGGGGACGAAGTAGGGATTTAAAATAGTCCCCAAGTGTGCCCCAATGCACCTGCAAGCTTGACCACACACCCGACCGCACAAAATGGCAGTAACACTATCATAGGTGCACGGCCGCGCTCGAGGCACGCGTATTTCATACTGTTCTGTAAAACGTACATAACATTTTGCACAAAGATCCATTTGGGCTCCATAACATATCGTTGGAATGCTATTTCAAAGGTCTACAACTTTTGTGTTTTGTGCTATCCCAAATAACCTACATGTTTTTCACTAAACCTTCTATAAAACCAACCTT